AAGGAGAAACTAGTCAAAGGCTAAGTATAAGGATGTAGTAATAGTTTAAGAACAATATAATTATATTCTCTACATCTTTTCATATATATATATATTATAGTTAAAGGACTATTGCATAGCGATTAGGTAGTCATTATTCAATTATTACAATAAAATTATATAGAGAAGATGAGGGAATCATTATATAGTTTTTATGTAATAGATAGCAATTTAGTGTAGAAATTTCATTATAAATAAGCTGGGTTTTCATCATGTATTGATAGAAATTTAGAAAGTAAATTTTATAAAATAATAAAACTCTTTGCTAAATTGTCTCGTAACAAACAAACTGCTTTGTGTCAAACTTGCTTTGTGTCAACCTTGGTTAAGTAATATTGGATTACTTAACATTATCAACTTGCTTAGTATCAACCTTGGTTAAGTAATTATAAATTACTTAACGTTATAAATCCTGCTTTGTATCATCTAGATTTAAGTAATCTTTAAATTACTTAAATGATATAAACTTAGTTACAAATAAACTTTGTAACGTCAACTGAGAATTTCCTATGTCAAAGGAAATTATTTATCTTACATGAAGGATTGGAAGTCATCATACTTGTCAATTCTGAAACTTAATCGTGAAGGAATACCGAAGTCAATAATAGCCTGAATTAACCAAAGTCTCTCCCAAAACTTACTAAAGATTTGAGCTAAATCTTGCTGCTATTCAATTGATTACGTGTTTCAGTCTGCCTAATTATTATTTGGGTAATACTAGCATAAGGTACATGCTTTGGTGAAGGACGAAAAATTTGATACATTGCCTGCCTATCAAGCCATTTTTTTACATCAGTAAATTGAAAGCTGTAATCGGCTTTTCTATAAGCATCTCACAATACTTTAGTATTTTGATAAAGGCTCTCAGGTTGTTAATACAACTTCTGTAAGATAAGATTTCAGTCAAGATCATGCACTTTTTAAGGATCAATATAAATTAAGGATTCTCCCATTTAGAATCTCTTTTATAATAACGAAAAAAAGAATGACATTTCACAGACCCCATTCAAGGTAGAGAAAAACATGTGAAGAGTATAAAGCCAAGTTATAGGAGGATAACTATCATCTTTGAGATACATTACAGACAAAGGTAGAAAATAAAGATGGGAACTGTAATTAATATATTACAACTTTTAATGTTGCAACTTACGTTGCAATTAGTTTTAACCTATATATGTTGCAACTTATAATGTTGCAACATATGTTGCAACTAATTTTAGCTTATGTTGCAACATTTTGTAAATTTGAAATCAATTGCTGTACCATCTTTAGTAGAAAATAATCGCCTGAATGAGAAACAGTTCAATCAATTAGAGCGTGAATATAGCTGGTGTGAGCAGAAAATCTAAGATCTCAATAAAGATATAAAGTGTCTTGAGAATGCTTCAGAAGAAGATATAGCAGAGCTAAAATCTGAAATCTCCAGTCTAAAAAGTCAGCTATATCAAGCTAAGAAAGATGTGCGAGATAAGAAACAATATATTTCTACCTTAGAAGAGCGATTGGTAAAATCTGAGGAACAGGTAGAGGAATTGAAATGCTGGATTAAAGTCATTTCATCACGAAAAAATTCATCAGTACAAGGGAATTCTTTTGATCAATATAATTCTGATGATAATATGGTTACAATCACAGAGCTAATAAACACTATAGATGGTTATCTAGATAATCCAATAATAGATAAAGAAATCTTGGCTAGTCAAATAAAAAGGACAACAAGATAGATTCATTGAAAAGAGAATAATTTGCATCAGGACTTAGCTCATGAGCAACGGAGATGATATAATGCTGAGACTGAAAGGAATAATAAAATAATACAAAGAAATCTTGCTGAAAGAGTGAAACAAAGAGTTATTGGTGACCTTCAAAAGTTGCAGATTAATACTCAAAATCTGGTAAACAGAAAGCAAACCTGTATTGGTGAATTATTAAGAGAAAAGATAGCCCTTCGACTAATAAATTGAAGGCACAAAGATAAAGCTGACTTAGCAGAATTTAACTGAGCCTGGGTATTTAATCGGTATCAAAAATGGAAGACTCAGAAAATAATCTTTTACCAGAATATTTTAAATTTACAGGGACAAATTTTAGCCTTACAGAATAATCCACCAAATCTAATAAACATGGCTTTATCTGCAGGGTTTGTAATGCCTGAATTATGTAGCTTCGAACAAGATCATAAAAAGTATGTAGATGATTTTATAGCATATATCAATTTAGCAAATATAAATAAGAAGCAAGAATTCGTAATATACTGGACTGATCAGTAAAGGGAGAAGTGCAAGAGTAGTATCGTAGAGAGTTTGATAATAAAAACTGAGAATTACAGAATGTGTTAGATAATTCTACTATAGGTGCTACTATTAGGGCCATTCGTGATACTAATGTAGGAACTATAACAGGAGCGGTCACATCTTTTTCAAATGTCCTACTAGGCCTCGCAGGTGCAGACATTATTCCAGCTCGAGGATTTGATGAAGATTGGACAATAGCTGGAAGACGATCAACTAATGCAGGACCAGTTGCGGTAAATGCTAGAGGTGGTGTTCCTGTTATTCTTGCAAAAATTCGATCTAGACAAAGGTTACATTGAATTAAAAAACACTTTCCATCTGCTGATAGTATTTAAGAATGCTTGAAATTGGAACATTAAAACAAGGAACATATGAAAGTGTAACATCTTTTTGGGCGAAAATTCAAAAGTATGGAGATCAATTGGATTATACTCCTGACCAAAAGAAAACAAGTTTTATGTTTGGAGTAAGACATAATATATTGAATGACATCTTTACGATTGGTCATCATAAACCTTTTAATGATATTCTTGATAGTTTGAATGAAATGGAATTATGTAGTGGGATATTAGGACCACTGCCACCATATTGTTATCTTATGATACTAACGACTGAAAATTAGTATTGACACAAGATTAACAAATAATTTAGCTTTAAGACTTTACAATGCAATTTATGGAAGGTTTATCGATCAAATGTATTTTAAAAGACAAGTATGATTTATGGGTTAAGTAATTTAGAATTTTATTAAAGAA